GATGGAGTTTTGCTCTTGTCACCCAGGCTGGAGTGCAGTGGTGTGATCTCAGCTCACTGCAACCTTTGCCTCCCGGGTTCAAGAGATTCTCCTGCCTCAGCCTCCTGAGTAACTGGGATTACAGGCGCCCACCACAACGCCTGGTTAATTTTTTTGTATTTTTAGCAGAGACAGGGTTTCACCATGTTGGGCAGGCTGGTCTCGAACTCCTCACCTCAGGTGATCCGCCCACCTTGGCCTCTCAAAGGATTGGGATTACAGGCATGAGCCACTGCTCCCAGCCCCCAAAATACATTTATGCTTTTATATTACCTATATATTTACCTTTACCAGTACGCTTTGAGTATTCATGTGCATTTGAGTCTAGTTTCATTTTATCCTAAACGATTCATTCTCCTTTCATATTTCTTGTGGGGCAAGTCTGGTGAAGACAGGTTATCACAATGTTTATTTCGGAGTGTCTTCATTTCTTGTTTTTGAAGGACAGTTTTTCTGGATATAGAATTCTTGGTTGAGGCTGGGCACAGTAACCCACACCTTAATCCCAGCACTTTTGGAGGCCAAGGTGGGAGGATTGCTTAAGACTAGGAGTTTAAGACCAGCCTGGGCAAGATAGGAAGACCTCTGTCTCTTAAATATTTTTTTTTTTATTTTATTTTGGTGGCACATGGTGGTAGTCTTATTTGAGAGGCTGAAGAGAATTGCTTGAGCCCAGGAGTTCGAAGCTACAGTGAGCTATGATTGCACCACTGCAAAAATAATTCTTGGTTGATAGTCTTTTTCATTCAGCACTTTCAATATGTCATTTCACTGCTTTCAGGCCTGCACTGTTTCTTATGAGAAGTCAGTTCTTAGCTTTACTTCTTTCTTTTGAGATCTCTTTTTCAACAATTTGATCATGATGCATCTAAATGTGAATCCCTTTGAGTTTACCCTACTTAGAGTTTGTTCAATTTATTGGATACAAAGATTAATGTTTTCATAAAATTTGGGACGTTTTGGGCTACTATTTCTTCAAATAGTCTTTCTGCTCCTTTCTCTTCTGGGATTCTCATTATGATTGGCATACTTGGTATTCTGGTACACTTGATAGTGTCTCAAAGGTCTCTGAAGCTCTCTTCATTTTTCTTCATTCTTTCTATTCCTCAGACTGTATAATCTCAATTGACCTGTCTTTGAACTCACTTGATTCTTTCTTCTGCCAGTTCAAATTTGCTATTGACCCCATCTAGTGAATTTTTATTTCCATTATTGTATTTCTCAATTCCAGAATTTCTATTTTTTTGTCTCCTTACTGATAGTCCCGATAATTTGGTGAAACATTATTCTCATAATTTCCTTTAATTCTTTAGACTTTGTTTCTGTTAGTTCCTTGAACATATTTACAATAGCTGATACCTAAAGTCTTTGCCTAGTAGGTCTAACATCTGGGCTTCCTCATAGATTGTTTCTATTGACTGCTTTTTAAATTGCTGTGTATGGCATGGGTCGTATGTTCCTGTCCTTTGTGTCTTGTTTTAAATACTACATCAATTATTGAAGTCAGATTACCTCCTCTCCAGGGTTTGCACCTGTTACTATTCCTTATTGTTGCTGCTTTTGGTTGGTTCTGTGTCTTTCCTGGACTAATTCTGTAAATTCTGTATTCTTCGTTATGTTTGGTTCCTGAAGTCTCTACTCAGCCTAGTGGGTAAGCTAATGATTGGACAGATTTTCTTTTTAATGCCTTGAACCAATAAATTTTCTAGCTTTTGTCAAGTGCATGCGTGTATATTTGTCCAGTCATGTCACTGATGTATCAGCGGGCAGTTTACAACTGCCTTTACCTTCATTTCTGGCATGAATTGAGTTTCAAGGTCGGCCAGAGATGACAGCTTAGGACCCTCTCAGGACATGCATACATCCCTGCACATGCACATGGACTTCTAGATTCCCAGGAATATGCTTGAGCTTGTCAAAGCTCCCATGGACATCTTCCCAGATTTTTCCTTTTAAGTTTCTTGGTCAGCCTTTTGTTAGCCTCACCTGATAACGCTGCCTCAGGCAGCCACAGGGTTACCCAGTTGCCACTGATTATTCTGCAGGAAGGGCTGTTTTCAGAGTGAGCTGTTAAATAAAGACAGGTCCTGAAAATGGAGCTTTTCAGTGAGTTGCCAGACAAGTCAAATAGAGGCAGTTCTCTAGTAGTGGAGATCTGGGGGACCTCCAAATTCATTCTGCCTCCTCCAGTGGTTACTAGGTTGCTGGTTTTCACAGACACTAAGAGGGCTGTTGGTTTTCAAGGCTACCATGGAATAAGGAAGAGGGGCATGGGATTAGGGCAACTTAAAATGCCACTTTCTGCTCTGAAATTCAGCTGTTTTCCTTTAATAAACACGTCTCAGTTTGTTGCTAACCATTAGTTGCTTTCCAAAGTTCTGAAAAAGTTGATTTTGACATTTTTGCTAGTCTTGTTGCTTTCATGAAGGAGCAGATTTTGGGTGGCTTTTACTCCATCCTCATTGAAGTAGAAATCCTTTAGATATTAAAATTATAAATTTATACAGATCCTTTGGATTCAATCAACACCACAGGGTTCTTTTTATGGCCTCCCTTCCTGATATGCAAACACCTTTTTCCAACAGTGAGAAACTAAATTTGTATTATCTACAACACAGGTATGTATTTGTTTGACTTTAGTATATACATAAAAATTTCAGAATTGCTAACCCACATCCCTTTGAGAAACACATTTTCTTGAGTTACTTTTTAAAAAGATTGCTGGCTGCTGTGTTGAGAACCATGGGGAACAGGCCCTAAATCAGTGGGAGCAGTTAGGTGGTTACTCAGATTATTCAGGTTAGAGATGGCAGTGGCTTGGACCAGAGCAATGATGTGCAAACTCTATTGTGAATTTGAACGTGAGGGATGTAGGTTGTGTGCTGCTTATGCGAATCTAATGCCTGATGATCTGAGATGGAACAGTTTCATCCTAAAACCATCCCCCTCACCCCACCCGTCCATGGAAAAATTGTCTTCAACGAAATCAGTCCCTGGTGCCAAAATGGTTGGGGACTGTTGGTTTAAATGGTGAGGCATGGTCAGATTCCAGATGTGTTTTGAAAATTGAACCCATAGTATTAAACTGATGAATTAGACAGGAGATGTAAGATAAAGAATCAAAGATAATGCCAATTTTTGCCTGAGCAATTGGAATAATGGAGTTGCCATTAACTGAAAGCCTGTGGAAGAGATTCAAGTTCTGGGAGAAAGATTGGTTTTGCTCATTTTAAGTCTTAGACATTTATTATTCAAGTGCAGATAGATGCCCAGTTATCCACAGGCAGCTGAATATATCAGTCAAGCATTTAGGAGAGATGTGGACTGGAGACAAACATTTATGAGTTATCAGTGTATAGATGGTGGTTGTAGGAGTGGTCAGTGCCCTGCATATATCCTATGATCCTAGGAACTGCCAATGTGTTCCTGCCAACTTTCAGCTGCTGCTATCTGGTTTTTCTTTCTTTTTAGACAGGGTCTCACTCTGCCACCCAGGCTGGAGTGCAGTGGCACAAATCACAGCTCACTGCAGTCTTGAATCCTCAGACTCCAGGGATCCTCCTAGCTCAGCCGAGAAGCTGAGACTATAGGTGTGTACCACCATGCCTTGCTAATTTTTAAAAAATTCTGTGTAAAGATGGGGTGTCATCATGTTGCTCAGATTTTTTTTTTTTTCTTTTTAAACTGTGGAAAGCAGTTCTGCTGGTACACATGGCAAGCCAGTAACTAACACGTGCTAGAATAGCCCTCACTCAGTTACCCTGGGAAGTTGTTATATAAATACTCCAGGTCTCTTGCCCCTTAGGTGGGATAATTCTGAGGTATATATTTTGCCAAACTCCCCAAAGTCTCCCTGTGGCACCAAACTCTAATTGCCTACTACCATAGCTGGCTTAACAGTAAACTTTTCATTGGCTGCTTTCTCTTTCATACAGTTTCCCCAATTTCCTACCGATTACTTTCACGTGAAGCATTGTTTTACGTTCTGCTTCCGGGAGAACCCAAACTAAGATGGTTTAAAGCTATGACATTGGACGGGATCACCAAATAAGTGAGCACAGAGAAGAAAAGAGGTGCAGACTCCGTGTGAGTACTGAAACGCTGTGACACTGAGGGGCCAGGGAAATGAGGAGGAAACAGCGAAGGAAACGGGATGTGCAGGTGTTGCAAGGAGGTTGCAGGGAGGAAGGCAGAGCTGGATTCCAGTAGGGCTGGGGATTGTCAGGACAGTTTGAGGACAGTGCAGTGGAGGGTGACATAATGATGGGCCATGGAATTTACGTTGAATAGGGAGAGAAGTACAGGCATGAGGGAAATGACCTGTGAAAAAGCCATAGAATCAACGGATTGAAATCTCAGTGGGGTCAAAGAATTGTGGGGATTGAGGACCACAGGAGAATTGTATACACCATGGGGTTATTGGAGAGTGAGATACTTAAAACTGAGATTTTGGAGGGGTGCAGTAATTGTTATTAAAAGGACTGGGCTCTAGAATAAGACTATAGAACTGAGTGTCTTCTCACTGGAGGAAAGAAAAAGGGGCTGAGGGAGGCTGAGGTGGGCGGATCACTTGAGGCCAGACGTTCGAGACCAGCTTGGCCAACATGACGAAACTCTGTCTCTACTAAAAATACAAAAATTAGCTTGGTATGGTGGTGCATGCTTGTAATCCTAGCTACTCGGGAGGTTGAGGCAGGAGGATTGCTTGTATCAGGGAGGCAGAGGTTGCAGCGGGCTGAGATGGTGCCATTACACTCCAGCCTGGGTGACAGAGAAAGACTCCATCTCAAAAAATAAAAATAAAAAAGGTTGAGAGGCCAGGGAGTGTATTAGACCATCACTTGGATATTGAAATCAGCAATGATTAGTAGTAATGGGGTGACACTGAACCGGGAGCTAAACTCTTCAACAAATAAGAGGGAGTAACCAGGCTGCGAATAAAAGATAACTGCAACAAGAGAGAAATGAAGACAGGTTTTTCTTGAACACTCACACAGTATTTAGTAGGTGGCAAGCAGTTCTAAGCAGTTTATAAATAATGTCATTCAATCTTCATAACAACCCTATAAAACATGTACCATTTTACTCACTTTTACATATAAGGAAACAGAAACAAAAGAGGACAAATAACTTGCTCAAGGTCCCCAGCTAATGAGTGGTGTGCTAGGATTTGAGCCCAGGCAGTCTGGCTCATTCTAACCTCCATCCATACTGTGATGGCTATTCATTCCAATGTGGGGAAGGGGGGATATTTGGAGAATGATCTAGAAGCAGCAATGAGAAACCAGAAAGGCACCTATCTGAACGAAAGCAGCCACTCTCAAAAGTGCTGCCAAGGATGCCACATACTCGGGGGAAACCAGATTTAAAACTGGGAAGTCTGTTTTAACTTGCAAATGATAATTTTGTTTCACTGCCTATATTGGTCTTGTATTGCCTTTGTTATTCCTTGCTGCAACAACTAGCACTTTCAGAAACATGTTGATAGAAGGTAAGTGGCTTTAATATTTACTGAGAAATGTTTTATTTTGCAATTAAGATGACTTTAATTTTGATTTAGCAACAGATAACATTAAGAAAATATTCTTTGCAAAACTGAGTTTGCTAAAGCTAGATGTTGAATTTTATCAAATATAGCTGCTAGAATTTTTCAGAATTTTTTCCCCTTCGGTTTTATTATAGTGATGATTTATCAACAGATTTTTATTATAGTGATGATTTATCAACAGATTTTTATTATAGTGATGATTTATCAACAGATTTTTCATTTTCTGAAATCTTGCATTCTTGGGATAAAAATATCTTGGCTATTGTGGATGTTTACTATATGACTAGAATTGATGTGCTCTTCATCTTACTTGTGATTACATTTAGGAACCACCCCCCTCCACCCCCGCCCCGCCCCCAGGACACTCTGTCTTAAGGTCCTTAGCTTTAATCACATCTGCAAAGTTTCCTTTGCCATGTAAAGTAACAGTCACAGGTTCTAGAAATCAGGACCTGGCTATCTTTGGGGGCCAACTATTTAACCTAGCACAGACGCTTTAGGACTTTAGGGCTTAATTCTCTTCTGGACCCAGCTGAGAAAAGCTGTCTAGGCAATATGCTCGTTATATCTACAGATGGCACAAAACCATGCCACGTGACTGAATCAAGACCCGGCTGACTCTGAAAAACAGAACTCCACAAAGCGTAATTCAAAAGCGTGTGACGTGCTTGCATTCTGTGTGGAATGGAAGGATTCAAGATGTCAGCTGGCAATTCCAGGAAAAACTGTGATTAGGCTTTTCTTAGAAATGGCATCTGACGAGCATACGGCGAGGCCTGCTCTTCTAGGTCTGGTTGGACCCTACAGGGAGCAGGCCTTGACTTTGTGAGTGAGCCTGGCTTGCCTTCCACACGGCAATGCCCCCTTGGAGAGGAATCAGGATTGATGGTGAAGCCAGGATGCTACACAGGATAGATGCAGAGGAGTGTTACAGGCTTCTTCACGATGGGCAGATCGGGCCTCAAGTGGTCAGAGCTTTCCAAAGGTGGGTGTGCACAGTGGAGAATTTCCTCTCTGTAGAGAGAGCCCTGAGTCTGGATGACCATCTGGCAGGGATATGTAGGGGAAGAAGATGGTGGGTACTGACTTAGATGATTACTTAAGGTTCACTGTCAAACTTTGAGACCCCACTCAACTACTTCAAATTTTAGTTGGGGAAACCAAGTCCCAGAGAGAGAGGTCATTTGGATTTATAAAGTTAAAAGCAGAGTCAAACATACATCTCACCACTTCTGGTCATCCTCAGATATTAATACTCAGTTTTTCAAGCAACATGCAAGGAAATAAATTCAGAGGTAACATTTAACTATGATTAAAAAAAAAAAACCAAAACCATAAATTTTCAAGGCAGTAATTATCTAACAGTGCTTTGAGAAGGAGCATGCATTTGCATTGGGGAGGAAGGCACAGAGTCGAGTCTCGGCTGTGCTGCTGAACCCTGAAGGGCCTGTCAGAGGCTGCCTGGAATGGGATGAAGAGCAGGGAATCAGAAACAGGCAATCTGTCCAATTTTCAGTGAAACAAGTTTCATAATTTTAGAACCTCCCAACATCCAAAATCCTAGACACAATGTTCCTTTGAAAGAATATATTTTCTTACTAAGTTGATATCAGAAATAAGCAGTTTGTTCTTACACACTTTCTGAGGACCTACATTTCTATGGCATTTAAATCTTGGATATTTTTAATGAACATTAAATCCCAGGGAACTAACACTGCATTTCACAATCTCTGAGCACTGATCGATGTTCTTTTTAATCCTGTAGAATTTCTCCACATATTCAGAACGTCCTAAAAGCTCCACAAAATCTTCATCATGAGTGATTACCAGAAGCTGGAAGTTACGCTGCTGCGAGCGACTTTTTATTATCCTGAAACAATATATTTAGAACATATTATTAGTAAAGAGCATAACCCCTTCTTTGATTTGAGAAGTCACTGCAAACCTTGCCAGACACATGAACTTGTGCTGTGTGTGTCAGGGCCCCAGCTACCCTGCAGGAAGTGGAGGAGCGACCCTGGACCTTCAGGCCAGCCAGGCAGGAGTCTCATCTCCTCTCCAGACAGTAGGGACACATGGGCTGACTCCTCACTTAGGTCTGGTTTAGGGACTCATAGGAATACAAGAACTAGTTTCTTCCAGAAGTTCTCACTAAAGCAGGTATAATTATTTTATTGAGTTTTCCTTAATACCCAAACTGTTCAACTATAGAAGGCTTATTCCTTCGCCTGGGATTTTCCTGACCTGTTACTACTTTTCTCTGGAAGAAAAATTTTAAAGTAATAAAGACAAACTGCAGGTAAGGGGAATAACACTGCTTTCTTAAGAGCTGGGTCTACTTAGAATTCTGCCACCACCAGTCACTAGATGCATCATTACTATGACACACAGGGATGTGAGTGGGTGTTCTGGGAACATTTTGCTGAGGTAACCAGCAATGTGACTGAAACCTGAAAGACTTTTTCTTTTAGCTAGCCACTTATCCCCTTCCTGGAGCTGGATGTACTTGAGGTTTCAAAAGCACTCGCCCTTACTTGCGATGGCTGCAGAAAGGTGGCCCTGTGCTGCTCAGCTCTCCTTCTGGCCCTCTCTGCCAGTAAGGGTCTGTCTGGAGCCAGGAGTGCCTGAAACACCTCCTTTGACCTCAGGGAAAGTGCCTTTTTCTCTGCCAGCATAGTCCTTACGCAAGAGCTGCTTGACAACCTTGGCGTCTGTACCCACCCCAGGTGAATGTGGTAAAAGGTATGTGCAATTTTACCCTCACTGGATTTTACCTAATCTCGAATAAGCTTTTTGAGTAAGAGCTCTGTCATTCTTCACAGTTGTCTGACACATGTGGAAAGCTGGGGAGACAGTCCTAAATCCACTACCACTACCTACAGATGTCTTAGCAGGGCATGCTAATTGCTGTGCATGACATGTGGGTTCCTCTGGTAGGTTTACAGGAAAACCAGACCAGGAACCCCTCCAGTGACCCTCTCCCTGTGAACACACTTGGGGAACGGCAGGATGTGTCTGGGACTGCTATTCACCATCTAATTCCTTTAGGAGGGATCTGAAGAATTACTATCAAAAGGTAAAGCCCAGGGCCTGGCACCAACTGGCTTCCCCAAGAAGTGGGGAACATAGCTAGAGAACGTTTTCACCACAGAACTCTCTTGATCTTGAAAAACTATCACAACCTGTCCCCAAATGTGAGATACTTACTCAACCAGAGCATGTGCAAGAGATTCAATGTTTTCTCGGTCAAGATTTGTTGTTGGCTCATCCAAGGCAATGATGCCACAGTTGAGGCAGAACGTTTCAGCCAGGGCCAGGCGAATGATAAGTGAGGCTAATACCTGGAAAAAAGCCCCTATGTGAGAAGCCCAGCACAGACCTTCTCATCTCATGGCAGGCAAGCAGTCCTGACATGATCTTTTCAGAGGGAAAAGTGGGAAACATCACAGGTTCACTGTTAGGTAAAGCACTGCCCTCTGGGACAGCCCAGCACTGGGACCAGATTCTTATGTCCTCCAGAAGGAGAACCTGCATGATCTCAGCCCATCATTCACCACAAAACAAAATGCTCAGAGCAATGCTGATGCCTTCACATAAAAAATTACATCAGCTACAACCAACTTGAGACCAAAGGCTAGAAACAGAGACAATGCCATTTATCTGTAATTTTAATAAACCTGTAGGATTAGCAACCTTAAAAATTCTTGACCTGGCTATTTTCCTGATAATAGGATCTGTCAGAAAACTTTGACACATTTTCTAGAGCCTCTCACTTTTTCTCAGCTACCTTTAAATTTCCATATTCTTGTGTATAATTCTGAGAGTGAGAGAATAAAAAAGAAAATCCTAGGTCAAAGTATCAGGAGTATAGAAGTGTGGTTTCAGTTAAGCTTACCTGTAGAAAATCCAAGTAACTGGAACTATTAGGCATTTTCACGGTTACTAGAAACCTAATACTAAAACCCTCAGACCTAACTGAAGCCATCTGAAGATACAAGACACACAGAATTGACAGAGTAGGGCTATTCTGGGAAGTATAAACTACTCTGTTGTGAGCTGTAAGTCACCTTTCCCCCTCAATTTGTGGGTGGGTGTGCACGAATCAGTGAGTTGGTAATTTTAGAACAGTTTACGTCTTGTCTTTGATGCCTAGGCAAGCCAGAAGACAGAGCCACAGCTTGGCCCTGTGAGGGACAGGCATTTCCTGTCTTTGAATCCAAACTGCTGTCAACTCTACCACCACCCACTCACATGCAGAGTCCCTGGCTGGCTTCGAGAGCCTCAACAAAAGCCAGTGTTAGGTAGGATGGACGCCCACCTCCATTATTTGTTCTCTCCCCTCACACCAAGGGGGCAATTATTGCTAATTAATTTTCATAACTCAGAATAGCTAGAGAAAATCTTTTTCCTCAAGATATTTTTGTAAGTATTTTTAATCCAAAGAGACCATGTTTCACACTCTGTATTTTCTCATTTATAATTATCACTAAAAATCACCAAAGTAGGTAGGGATACTGATTACAGATCACAAGTTGGTCATTTTTGTAGACTGATTTAGATAGTAATCTGCAGATGCTTTAAATTGGTATCAGCTGTCTAGGCTGACAACATAATACATATATGCATGGCATGTTCTTTCTTTTTTTTTTTTTTGAGATGGAGTTTCGCTCTTGTTGCCAGGCTGCAGTGATCTCGGCTCACTGCAACCTCTGCCTCCCGGGTTCAAGCGATTCTCCTGCCTCAGCCTCCCGAGTAGCTGGGATTACAGGCACACGCTACCATGCCCAGCTAATTTTTGTATTTTTAATAGAGATGGAGTTTCACCATGTTAGTCAGGCTGGTCTCGAACTCCTGACCTCAGATGATCTGCCTTCCTCGGCCTTCCAAAGTGCTGGGATTACAGGCGTGAACCACCATGCCCCCAGCTGCATGGCATGTTCTTTAAGCAAAAATTGCAAACTATGAAAATGGGTTAGATAATGTGAGCATCCATTTCTATGATTTTAGAATTTTATTTAAAAAAAATCAAGGGCCTAGAGGTGTTCTCAAGTGTAATCTTCTGCCTTAATCTGAAAGCAGAAAGCTCAAGAATCTGTGACATCTTTGTTACAAATCTGTGCACAGTGAAGGACCCAGCCTTGTTCCCCAAGGATGCCATATTCCTGACTCTTTAAAACTTCATTCCTCTTCCTGATTTCCAACGCAGGCTGTCCTCACAGAGCCTCACCTGATGAAAGGGGCCTGACCCAGCAGCTAAGTCTTTGAGTATGTGGTGGTGGGGACTTAGTCCTATGAGGAGCTACTTCCTTAGTGAGACTCCCTCCTATGTTCATTCTGGCTTAAGCTAGAATCTGGTTTGCAATACTATGATGTCACTGATTCTGAAATATCTTATGGTTATAATTGCATTTTTTCATTCCTGCTGGCACATAAAATAGTGGTACATCTTATAACTGATGAGACAGTAACCTTATTCTGATAAGGAGTGCCATGAAAACTCTAACAGGTCTTCAGCTTCTTATTCTACATTTAGCCTATGCTGCAAGAATGCTTCAGGCCTTTCTTTTAAAAGTCTACTTTACATAATGTTGCAGGAAATGATGGTTAGCTTCAGGAGAGTGTAATAATAGTAGCTGAGCCTGATTCATATTATGTGGCAGCAAAGAGCTTCCCACCATTCAGGTGTAGCCTTGGTGCTTTCACTGCACTGATGTGTGTTTCTCTCTTTCAGTTACTTGGGTGAGTTGGCTCCCCAGGCTTTTGAGATACCTGCCTTTTGTCCAGCACTGCATCGTCCTCGCATATCCAAGGCCGTGTCTCCCTTCAGCATCACCACTCGGTAGTTATAATTCCGCCTTTTATCTGAAGCTGATACATTTTCATCGGCATCAGACCGTATTTCTATGTATTCAATATCTGACACAGAAAAAAGAATATTTTAAAGGAACCTATGCTCTGTAGCCTTTTGTCATTTACAAACGTTATCAAGTAAGCCTAGGAACAACACACGAGGCTGCCATTACCAGGGGAAAAAAATGGCTGGTGTGGAACCACTTTCTCTGGCTGGGAGGATTCAGGAGCCTGGTGGTTTGGCCAGAAGCAACCCAGATGCTCCAGTTCCTCAGCCTCAACTCTGTCTTTCTTAGTTTCCGTTAAGAGCGTCCTCCGGGCTAGGCATGGTGGCTCATGCCTGTAAACCCAACACTTTGGGATGCCAAGGTGGGTGGATCACCTGAGGGCAGGAGTTTGAGACCAGCCTGGCCAACGTGGTGAAACCCCATCTCTACTAAAAACACGAAAATTAGCCAGGCGTGGCAGCGCACATCTGTAATTCCAGCTACTACTCGGGAGGCTGAGGTGGGAGAATCACCTGAAGCTGGGAGGTGGAGGTTGCAGTGAGCCAAGATTGCGCCACTGCACTCCAGCCTGGGTGACAAAGAAGAGCGAGACCATCTGAAAAAAAAAAAGTTTCCTCCGGATGGTTTTTTCTTATCGCATTTTGGTTTATCCCTATCTACACTATGACAGAACCTATTATGTCATCAGCTAAATATAATGCCTACTGCAGTCAAATATGTAAGTCCTGTTAGGCTCTAGAACAGAAAACTTTACATTTTCTTGCTACAAGATATTGCCAAGATAAGAATTTTTAGAAAATCTCAAAGACATGCTTAGAAAGGGGTCCAGGGAGGTAATGCTGGCATGATGAGAGGTCATAAGGGGAAGAGCTGTAGAGAGGGCTTTGGAAAGAGCATTTGTGATACACCATGGTACTCACCTTGTCCACGATAGGTACTTCGCCACAGATCACGAATAATTTTATTGATTTCTTCCATTTTCATACTGTGAAATTTCATTATTGCTCTGGAAAAAGAAGCCATTGGTACTTTATATATATAAAAGATATATAATTATGTGTAATAGTAATACTAAAATACATAAAATATATAATGTATATAAAATATAAATAACTTCCTCAATATTTTCAATGGTAAAAGTGGAATATAGTAAGAGCTAGAAAAAATAAACAGCAGCAAAACTTTGCTGCTTGGCTAATACTGAAAATTGGTAGGCTTATTTCTAGTGCTCCAGGGTTACCCTTCTCCATATTCACTCTACAGGATACAACAAATACTCCTTTAAGTAAATACTTAAATACTGTGAAAACTTCAGGAAACATAATTTTGTAGACTTTTTTCTTAGGCCGTGGTAACTTATTGGAGGCACTGCTTCCACTGATACTCACGGGTCACAGGAAGGCCTGCTGAATGAACGAGAGGGAGTTAAAGGGGAGGAGGTTTATGGCTGGCCAAGCAGCCGGCAGTCTATGGGGAAAATATGAGAATTGCTGGAACTGCCGCCTTGTCCCTCTTCTATCACTGTTAGGGCTTACCAAAAGTCAGCTTCTTACGCTGCTTTTATTCCTCAGATCTTACATTTTTACCAATGGGAAGCTCTGGTTCAGCGAGAATGATTTAGAAGCTTAAGCTGAACTGACATCAAAATTTTATTTTACCTTCCTATTCATAGATTCAGAAATCCTAATTCTAAATATTAACTTCCATCTTTATATTCCAAATCCTAACTCTAAGCACTAACTTCCACTTAGTCCAGACATGTCCCTGTCCCCAACTCTCTTTTAAGGTAGTAGTTTCTAAACACTAAAAAGAAAGAACAGAAATATTTGTAAAAACAAAAGTAGCCTGTCAAAACCTAACATTGTTCCCACCACAGTCACCTTTCATCAAAAAGCCCTTAAGTTCTCTGGAAGCGGGTTTATGAACTAATAAATGTTGCACCAGTGGTAAAAAGGCAAACATTACTGCGATCACCATACAAAGGATGTGAGGCGACTTACTTCCATTTGCAGGCCTCTTATCTGATGCATACAAAAAAAGAAACTGAACATAATGCTACTGCCTCTGTAGAATCATTTCATGATCTTCTGGTTCACCAGCAAGAGAGAAAGAAATGACTCAACATAAATACATTTTAAATATCAGATGAAGGACTGTGAAGTAGTAGAAGACTGGAAAAAACCATATTCTGCTTGTTGATGAGAATGCAACAAGTCTCCATTTTCTACCTTATACATTTATCCCAGCCTAACATTTTATGCTCCTTTCAAAAGGAGACAAAACATCTAAGTATTTCCTAAAAACAAAACAAAACTGATGGAATGTTAGACCAATCATGTAAAGACTGCCTTTCCATAGCTTATATATTATGATCCTGATTTTTCAAATGACATTAAAAAAAAGTTATCTTTCCATTCAAGTTAAAAATCTTCAAAAACTAACATAAGCATTCTAATGTGGAGAACAAGCTCCAGACAGGGCAGGGGTGGCCAAGGCGCACACATGCAGTCTGCCTTGGCTCCCTTATACAACACAGGTGGTGCATCCTGTCCCATGGCCAGGTCTGCTGAGACACACCACTGTGGGAAAAAGCTCTAGTTCAGGGAGAGGTCTCAACCCACCAAAGAGTGTGTCGGATGGAGCTGATGACTACCACTGTGGGATGGACCATTAATTCATCTTCATATCCTGTCTACTGTGGAATTTACAGCTGTACTGTGTAAGAGATGTGGATGATGAAGGTTGCTACAGTAATCTACATAAGGGAATAACAATGATAATAATGATTATTATTGATGACCATTTACCATATGCAAGACAAAACTATGCTAAATAATCAATGTCATTTAATCCTTACAATACTGGGAATTAGATACTGTTATCTCCATTTACTGTTAACAAAACTAAGATTCAATGAAATCAGTAACTTGTTCAAGATAAGAGAAAAGTGGCTAGGATATTAATAGCCCTTGAATATGATAGTTAAAATGGAAAAGGCAGTCAAAATTCCATCTTTTAAAGTCACCAGACTCAGTTTTATGAGGAAATGTTATCAAATCTTCAAGATACACCTAGTTCACAAGTATATAAAGTGTGACACAGCAAGGAGAAACATAAGGGGAAAAAAGTACAAGGCTATTTTGCTTATGAATATAAACATTCTAAATAAAACCAAATTTAGTAGTAAGGGTAGTAAAAAGAATACATCATGACCAAGTAGTGTTTACAACAAGAAACAGTAAAATTGGGGAAAATAATTCAATTATTGTAGTAACAGATGTCAAAAATAACATTTGATACACTATAACACTGAATTTTGATAAAATATCCCAAGTGAAAAATCGAAGAACGTTTTCTTAATTGGACAAAATGACTCCCTCAGATATCCACAGAAAGCATCAAATTTAATTTAAAATATATAGAAGTGTTCCTCCTAAAACTAAGAAGAAGAGAAAGATGCCTCCTATTATGGCTGCTCTAAAATAATGTCCTGGAAATCCCTAACAACTTAAGGATTTCACAATTCAAATTCCTAACTAAAAAGAAATGAAAAATGAAAAAAAGAGAGAAAAGCCTGTTATTGCTTTTGCAGGTGACAGAACTGTATGCTTAGAAAATCCAAGAAAATCAACTGAAAACTTATTCAGACTAATGAGGTAGCCAGAGATAAACATATAAAAATGAAGTTTTATTATCTAGAGCAAACACCAGTAGGAAAGGCAATAGAAAAAAAAGGATCCTATTCACAGTGGTGATAAAAACCATAAAATGCCTAGGAATAAGTCTAACAAAAGGGTATAGGAGCTGGAGGAAAAAGCTGTAAAACTTTACCATAGGAGAAAAGAACATGATTGAGTAGGAGATGCATACTAAGGAGTCCAGAATGGTAGATTTGATATTACAAAGATGCCCGTTCTCCTCAAATAATCCATAAATTAAATACAATCCAAACAGAAATCCCAATATGATTAAAAAATGCTTAATAGAATCCATAAGCTGACTCTAAAGTTCACATAGAAGAGATAATACAAAAGAAAAAAAATAAATTTTAAAAGTTGGTGTACAAAGGAAAATCCAGAAACAAACCCAAATGCATATAGAACGTTAGTTTATAACTGCAACAGTTCAAATCAACTGGAAAGGTTTCAATAGTGTTACAAAGGATAAAAAAATAACATTACCTGTTATCTAACCTCAAAATAAAATCCAAATGAATGAAAGGATTAAAAGCTAAAGTATTTGGGCAGCTGAGGTGGGAGGATCGCTTGAGCCAGGAGTTTGAGCCTAGGCAACATAGTGAGACCCCATCTCTACAAAAAAATTTAAAAATTAGCTGGGTGTGGTGGTGAGTGCCTGTAGTCCCAGCTACTTGGGAGGCTGAGGTGAGAGGATCACCTGAGCCTGGGAAGTTGAAGCTATAGTAAGCTGTGATCATGCCACTGCACTCCAGCTTCGGTGACAGAATAAGACCCTGTCTGAAAAAAACAAAACAAAAGCTAAGGTAAAATAAAACCATCAGAAGAAAACATTTTGATAATTTTAGGATTGGGAAGCCTTTCTAAACAAGGAACAACATAAATCAAAAGACTAAAGATCTGACTACCTAAAAATGAAAAGTTACAAAAGATACCATAAAGAAAGCTGAGGTAGTTGGGCACAGTGGCTCATGCCTGTAATCCCAACACTTTAGGAGGCCGAGGCAGGCAGATCACTTGAGGTCAGGAGTTTGAGACCAGCCTGACCAACATGGTGAAACCCTGTCTCTACTAAAAATACAAAAATTAGCCAGGGGTGGCGGTGCATGCCTGTAGTCCCGAGGCAGTTGACGGAGGCCGAGGTACTTGTGAGGCCGAGGCAGGAGATGGAGGTTGAAGTAAGCTGAGATTGTGCCACTGCACTCCAGCCTGGGTGACAGAGTGAGATCCTGTACAAGAACCCTCTAGGAGCTATTGAGTGACATATAGTCCAGACATGGAAACGGGTACTTTCATATATTACCGGTGGAAATTTTATAAGTGTTTTTAGAAGGCAATTTGGCACTAATTAAAAAATACACATA